CGACCCAACAACTGGCGTAGACAAGTGACGCCCTGAAGCTATCCATCATTCCTACACTGGCGTATACGCACAGCACAGCGTCTGCCGCAACCCGACCCAAATGTCTCCTTCCGGTCCCGCAGACTATCAACACACAGTCCCGGCAACCCCTCCGAGGGGCCTCGAGCGCTGCGACTAGTTACAGACGAGGATCACTGAGCCTTTCGAGAGACGCATCAAACTTCCATCTACCGCACAGGCGCTCGATCTTCGCCCTACACCTAAAAAGCCCTTGAGGGGGTTCTATTTTGATGCGAGAAGGCCTCGATGGTGTGACTGTGGAGAAACACGCTGGTTGTACGAATCCCGGAAGTCAGTCGCCGCATATACAGAACCGGAGCGATGTGCACGCTGTCTGGTCAAAATCATGTAGACCGGTTGTTTGTATGAGCTTCGGTGAAGTATTTGACGGGCTAAGACTAATGTGGTTCTTCGCACTTGTCCGTTATTCCTTAATTTACTGAATATCAGCCTTTCATCTCAGTACCCTGCGACAACAACTGCGATTGCGACTACCGTTGCCACCTGTCCAGCTATCACCCAAGACCTGCGCGTACCGGTGCTCTCCAGGATATCCCATGGCTCTTCTTCTTCGGGTTCTCGGCTACCCTCAGCCACATGGTCGGGTGTGACGCATACAACGTGTGTCTCTGTCGTGCCGTCGGCAAGGTAAGCCGCAAATACGGATGGTACAGGCCGTTTGACGGAAACGTCATACGATTCGAAGCTGCCGGCGTCACGGTCCCGTTGGTTATATTTAATTCCATAAGTACCCATGAGCCTTGTGTGGTATCGCTCGGGAACATGTTCTCCTGGTGGCGGTTTATCATCACATGTCTGGTTCGAGAAGCCGAGAACTGGGGCTGCGTTGATACATTAGCAATCAGTGCTATCAGAAGGAAAGATGCAAACACTCACACCTCACAATTATCGGGGCCAGGATTTCGATGGGACAAGCACCTGGAATTCGACTGGTATCGATGTCCTCACATTCCATGTCGTCCATGGAGACCCCGGAAGTCACAGGTGGAAAAGAGATTTCGCGCAATACATCCATGCACTCGGCGCTCAGCACACCTTCACAACCGTTGTCGCCTGTTCCCGTAGCTGTAGCATTGATGCCTTTGAACCGATAGAAGCAACCCATAGTTACGCTTGTCAACTCAGGATGGCTGATATAATAAGTAGTAGTCGAACTGTAAGGGATCCCTCGGCGGTCATTCACGGCGAGCGATATATACCAGTCTTCCTCGGATCTGATCTGAAACCCGGTCTGACCGGAGGAGTTGTACGTAGGCGCTGTAACAGGACACCATGGTGTGTTATCGTTGAGCTGGGCGAAACAGGACTGTAAGAGAGTGATTACTATGAGTAAATAGGCGGGTAGGAAGTTTGAAGTAGCCATCGTATTTGGCAAGAGGTCGTAGCTGCGGAAAAGAACGTATCAAAGTAAGCAAGATGGCCATACTATATAGAGGACATGTTAGCCATGATGTACTCCGGAGTGGTTGGCTATGCTGCACAAGAGTCACAGTTGCCCGCCTGAAGTGGTCAGGACTAGGTTGATTGGAAGCAGTATACCCGGCAGCGATTACTGCGCCGTACCCCACGTTCATTGTTTATCGTACACTAGAAGCGAACAGGCAGAGATCCGTGGTTGAAGAATAAGGCAAGCAACACGCCGCGCCGGATGGCTGCCGGCTTGGCGCAGCTGCCCTGAAAACCTGCGGATAAGAGACAGAACAGCGCTTGAACATGTTATCATGGTGGTGGCTGTGCTAGAGTATGGGCTTTAATGACGTCAATCTTGTGGATTCGGTGTGACTGGAGTCGCATACAAATCTACCTCGCTGGGTAACGCGCGCGACTGAGAAGCTCAATTCCACTACATACATACCAAGCCCTTGGAGCTGTTGGATATCCAGATACCACAACATGGATACGACCGCTCTTCTTGCCCCAAATGGATAGCCCGTTAGGTACCTTACGACAGCGAAAAGCACTGGGTGCACATGTCTTCCGCAGAGACCTGACCGCGCTCTTGCTATCGGAAGTCAGTGCGAGCTGCACGACGCGGGCAGCTTGATCTAAATAGTGCCCTGTGCCATCGATGGTCTTCAACTAGTCGCTCTCCGCGCCTTACAGAACTGGCACGGCCGCATCTTGCTCGCCCGGTATCTGAGAGGTTAGACAGATCACTTCGGAGACGTGAAATGTCGGCAAGAGTATGGATTTCAATGCCGCTTCACGCATCTCCTCAAAAGTGTGAATGGAGCGTCGCAAACGCCAATGTTCTCAAATATTGGTGAGAAGCCTGGAAGAATTGCAGATATGAAGCGAAACTTGATACTACAACACCTCACTACCTACGCCTTGAATTCCTTACGATAAGCCACTTATTCGATTGGCATGCCGACGAGAGGGCAAAGAACTGCCCAGAGCTTTTTCATGGGACCAAACAGAATGGTTACCATACCATGGGAGTATTTTGGAATCATTCATGGCCCACGTCCAAGATACTTTGCCTTGCAGGATCAGAGTCTGAAGCTCGGTCGATTTCGGCGTAGTCGTAGGTACCAGCTCCAACGATTGTACGGACACGGGGTTCATTGACGAACGCAAAAGACATCCGAAGCCATGTTGCCAAATCTGTAGTTGCCAACTAAACCACGCAGGTAGAGACAATTGCAGACGTGCTCAGGTAATGAAAATGGTGTTCCTGACAGGGTCAGTCGACATGCCCCACCACCGAATCCCCTCACTAGAGAAAAGTTTGCCGCAACACTGCCCCACCAGACCACCTCTTGCAAACCAACAAACTTCAAGCCTCGTAATATGTCAACGTTTGCCTTCATATACGATCATAAACAAGGTCTTTCCATCATTACTAAGCAACAACTGGCCTAATGGCCCAATGGCAAGGCGCTTGACTACGACTTCGTTCGATATCAAGAGATTCCAGGTTGTAAGTAGCTCTCAGAAGCCTCCTATTCGAATCGCAAATCTGACAACCCCGCTGCGACCCCTGGTTAGGTCACATTCACAGTTCCGCTGTCTTAGCATCCATCTTTTCGCATCGGTGGTTTAGTGGTAAAATTAGCCGTTGCCATCCTTCACAGGACAGTTTCGGCTAGCCCCGGGTTCGATTCCCGGCCGATGCATTCTTTTTGATGTTCTAGCCGTCGTGGTGCTGTGGTGGGAGGATGGTGGTTGTGGTGGAGGAGAAGGAGTTTTTTGAGGTTTGGTCGATCACAACGCCAAACCCGTATAAGACTACAGCACGACATCCGCGCAGAACCTAGAATTCATTTTTAGGTCTATTACCTTGCTGCGCAACAAGTGTACTGCAAATAAGTTATCTTTTGGCTGCCTTAGATGTCGGCTCTGCGACTACGCACACCTCTTCACTAACTCTTGAGCTACGAAGGATATCTGGCCATTCCTTACCATCATACCCGTCGAATCACTCAGAGCATCTCTGTGCAATGCTTTGTACTTCTACAAAACGCACCAGCCACTCTTTGCGAAGTCACTATCTTAAACCTCACTACGCACAACATCACCGCGGCTGCAATGATAAGTGCCACTACTGCAGCTGCAGACAATTTCGAAATGTCGCCGTTGATCAGAGTGCATGGAATATTCACTATTCCTAGCCCACGGTGTTCACAGAGCGGTTGGTGAAGAAGGTAAGAGAGACTTGGGTACACCGCTCCTGCAACCACTCGGCGAGTACTCGGGAAGCTTCAGATATCCTCAGTAAGAGCGCCCCAACGCTTTGCCTTTTCTATATCTTTTACATCGAACCGGCATACGGTTGCCCGCCTAAGTTGTTACCAAAACCACAACTATCGCCCAAGGACTGCGCGTAATCACCATGAACCCGAACAACAATCTGCCATCGCGCCAGCCAGCAACAGCGAAAGGAACAAACCAAGTGAGTGACGACCAACTGCAGGCCCTCGGTATTCTACTGACTATGCTAGGCGCTAAAAGACCTGGGCTTTACAAACCCACTGCGAACAGTCAGCACCAACGCCAAAGATGACGGCGAGCTCATATCATCCAAGACACCGACCGATGCCAATATCGGCCATGCGAAAGGATTTGGAGAAAGCATCGCCGAGGCGATGTCAACCGCCATGCAGCTCCCCATGGCAACTGCCAATTACCAGTTGAAGCAGGAAGTCAAGCGCTCGGCATCCAGTGAGCTCCTGAAGATCGACGATCTCAACATCTACCAAAGCGCATGCGCTGCGTACAAATTGGGATTGGAAAGAGGTTGGAGCAAGGAGAGGCTGCTGGAGTCGGTCGAGGAGTGGAAGGTGTTTGAGGCAAACTCGAAGCGTTCGTAGGACGCGTGCTTGGGAGACATGGCTTGCGAGGCGCTTGAGAAGAGACATTTAGATTTGGGTAATTGATGCAGACCTTTAGCACGCTAATGATAATGGCAATAAAAGTTTCGATTGTCGGGAATGCGTTGTCTCGTACTTTGAGGTCTTACTGCCGTTGTCAAAAAACTAATGCCAGTACTCGAGTGTTTGAAGGAGCCTGTATTGGCTTTGAGTCGGCTTGGAGGTATCATAGCCCTCACGTTCGCACTGCTGGCGCTACGCTGGACCATATGATTTCTAGACGCGTTCTTCAGCATGACCGGCTCGTTTTGGGGCAGGTCTACGAAATTGGGGTTGGCAAGCATGTATCGTAGATCGCATCGGTAATACGAGGATACTGTCTGATCACAGTTGGATTTGAGAGATGGGATGCGACTAGAACTTGTCGTATCTGTCTTCTACATATGCTGGAAAGCTACAGAAGATAGCCTGCCTTCTCCATCCACTCGATACACGAGAAACATAATTTCGGTCGTGTAGCCAGCTTCTCTTCAACGCATCATTGCGTCGTCCTCCACTCATCATCCAGGCTCCAAAGGCAGATAACATGCGATGAATGCATAGCTACTACAAGCCAAGTCGGTATGCATGTTTCCATCCTACAGCTTTGTTCATCTTCGGTAGCCAATCTTTTGATTTGTAAGCCTTATATTCGCCAGCCTTCGCCTGTGCCTTGAAGTGCGCCTTGACCATCTCTCTAACAACATCCATGACACCAGCCATATGTTCGGCCTTGATGGACAATCCGGACGGATGGTTGTAGCGCTCGCCTATGTACTTCAAAGTCGCGTGGATCTTTTCCTTGATGTCAGAGTCAAAGATCTGCTCGCGGTCATAAAGATTCATAGTGTCGTTGAACAACTTGTGGCAGAATTTGGAAGCTTCGATGTCGTCCGTTATCTGATCGAGGGTGGTGGCACCGTTGCGCTCTCCAGATACGAATTGAGGCTCACGTGGGAGGTGGAAGAGGAAGACATCTTTATGGATCGGACAGGTGTTGTTGTCTGCCAAGTAGTCAAGGAGACATTCCTCGCAGTAGACTGCGTGACATGTATGCACCTCGTTCTGTATGCGGCAGGCCGTGTCTTGTGCTAAAATAGTCGTATCAGCAATCGGAGAGCGGGAAGAGGAGCGCTATCTGTCTTTACCTATGAGATCGTTGCATATCTCACACACTAGATACATGTCGATACCCTGGTCGAGGAAAGTATCGCGGTCTTTCAATGGCGTGCCCATCTTGTTGCGCGTGTGAGTTCGGAAGGTGTAAGTGATCAAAATGGCAAGAAGCAGACGTTGTTTGGAGCTGCAAAGTCTTGGCAAACGTGGTCTCATCGGCAAGGAAGGCGCGATGGTTTTGTGGTAAGCGTGGAGTTGACCCAACGCGGTAAGAGCGCGCAGATGGCTCTGCTCGGCGCCAGTCTGCTGAGAAGCGGCAGGAGCAGTATAGTACATTGTTATAAGACTCGGATACAGAAAATTTCGGGAAATAGTAACGCCGCATGTACGACTACAATTATCGGACGTCTTCGACTTGCAAATAAGAAAGAGTACTCGGTTTTGTTACAGAGCGCGCAAAGCAGGTGAAAGAGCTGACCGAAAGTTTCCTGGACGTTTTACTCCGCCGACTCTGCCATCAACATATCATCATCACCACCTTCCTCATCTGACGCTTCTTCATCCGTCGATTCAGAGCCTTCAAGCTGCCATTGTAGCGGGCCCTCCACACTGTACAAATAACCTCTAAGCGGCATTCCTATGAGCGGAACAAAGCTTCCATTTCGATAGTGTTCTTGCACCATGTCTTTAGCCATGTACCCAATTGTGGGCCAATGACCACTGAATATATAGAGACCCTGAATGCTATTGTAGCGCGCGGGGGGGCCAGCCAGCGCGTCGGTGATCGCCTCTTCAATATCAGAGTCGTAGATGATCTGATCGCGTTCGTAGAACTTGTACATGGCACGCCAAATAGTTTTGACGAACTTCTTGGCATCGTCCCAGGTCTGGATCTGGTGGGTCATTGTGAGATCTTGGCGTTCGCGTCGTGCTCCTTCGACAAATTCAGGCTTGTCGATTTCAGAGAATAGCTGTTCTCTGCAGAGAGGGCAGGTGTTGTAGTTGTCCTGGCCGGATTCTATCCATTGTTTCAGACATTCTATCCCAAATGTGTGTTGGCAATTTGTTGTCTTGATGGATGCTGGATGATGTTCCGCATCAAATGGCTCTGTACAGATAGCACATTGATCGTGGACGACGAGGTTGTCCCTGAGAAATCTGCGGCGCGAAGGTATTTTTGTGGTTCGTGGTGTCATCATGTCGCCGTGTGGAGATACACTATCGTTGGGAGCGGATGTAGTGCGATGGAAGTTTTGTGGATTGAGAACAATACACAAGCCGACTCATAGACGGCAGTGCCGACGGGAGCATAAATGTTGAATGAGTGCGGGGGACACTAAGCCGGATGAACGTTGGTGTGGCACTAGTAATGACTTTGCACATTACCCACCAGGTCTCTGTTTTGGGTTGTTCATCTTGTAATTCAATGAGTGTGTAGTGGTAGCGAAGGCAGCTGAACCATGCGTGCGAATCCCGTGATGCATGTTGCCCAAATTACCACCGCTACTTCGTTCAACTGACGTTCACATGACATGGACGACATCATGATAAGCATGGCAGCTGCTGGTTCGAACAGCTGAAGCTCCGGTGAACGAGGGTTTCAGCGGCGAAGGTCATCTTCCGGCGGGAGCTTAGGCGGAAAAGAGAAGACAGTCTTCAGTTCCCTATGTTCAAGAATATCGATCGAAGGGCGTGATGGATGTAAAAGCGACGAGCCTTTCCTTGCCGGCATAGCAGGCCGGAGAGTCGCAGAGTCGACTGAAACATCCCACCCATGTGTCCCTCTGAACACTGGAGCAGCGTGTATGGGAGTAATATCAGCCACAGGCTTGACATCGGGCGATGATGGATGCAACAGCGTCGACTGCTTCCGCGGCTTACGCCTGTCTCCTTGGCTACGAGGTGATATTGATCTGGCGCCGGTAGCCATTGCGCTGCTTCTCCTTCGCACAGAGGTGACTCCACGCTCTGAGTCAAGCCATATCGTGTCTTTCAACGGAGCGATTATAGAGTCGATCGAAGCCCGCCGTAGAAACTCTTGCTTGAGATTCGGATTCCAGCTCGATCTGCGCTTCAGCGACGTGCGATGACGCACATGGCCACGTTTGCGTTCCGCGAGGTGTTTCGTTTGCGCTTTTGGTGGTACTGTCGTTTTGGGCGATAGTGGTGGCGAGGGAGGGTATGCGTCGAGATTGGGTTCTTCATCCTCTCTGTTGAATGTCGCGCCTTGGAAGTACGAGGCTTCGGTGTCTTGCTCGTGGCGGGTAGGTGTTATGGATGGGCTACCTTCTCCGCGCTTGGCTATTCCTCCTCTTCGTCCATTTGGTCTGGACGCGCTAATTTCTCGGGAAAGGGTCTGGTGAACGAGGTCGTCGTTGCACATTTTGGCAACTGTAGAGCTTTATGTCGTAAAAATATGTTGCGCCTGGTTAAATTAGGTAGCAAAGCGTCGGGTGGTTGCGCCAAAGATATTTACGTCTTCAGTGTCTGGTGTAAAGTATGCGTTTGGGGCTGACAAGTACAGGGAGTCCAAGAAGGCGGTGCAGAGGCGGTGACTCGAGTATTCTATATAATGACATGGTTGGAGCACGGTTGTTGTTGTGAAGCGCGGGCTTTCGCCCATGGTTGGTGCACTGTATGTACAACCGTTGGTACAGTCAATTACCGACACGCACGCACTCCAAACTTTGAATACCGAAAAACAAAAACTTGTTCGACTAAGAAGACGACCTTTTTCGTTAAGACGGCTTTAGTAGGATTAATCAAATCTCTTATCCGGTTCAAGAGGGAAATGAAGCCTTCAAAGGTTGCCTGTGTTGCCTGGATGGTATATTTACTCGTGCGCGGGTACGTCAACCGAGTCAAACCCATGGTCGGGGCATGACGTTGCTTCTGTAGGGCTGACCGGTTGGTAGACCCTGCTTGCAATATTGACGCTCTGTGCGGGTCTGGAACGGACCGATAAATGCGCCCGATCATTGTGCCCTGCATGTTTTGTTCTCTCAGCGGTTCTCGTGGTGACAGCCTCTGTAATGAGGCGTTCAAAATACGTCCATCTCCTGAGTGACGCGCTTCCCGAACCAGTCAACCAGTTCGTCCCCGCCAGCTTCATTCTTGCCGCTGAAGAAGTCTGTCATGCGCATGTCGTTGCCGTCATCTTCAGCAGGCCAGTCGATAGCGACATCCGCTTTTTTCCCTTCCAGTAGCTCTTTCGCAGTCCCCCACGAAAAGCGCGTCTCGCTACCCCAACCAAAGAAAGGGTCCATATTCTGCTTCAGCCAGGTCGTTGTCCGCGCGTCTGATGGGTACCCAGAGCCCCAAGCCACCTTGACTTCGGCATCTTCGTTCGCCGCTGTGTTGCGCTTCTGGTAGGGTTCGTAACACACATCTAGGGCCGCGTCACGGGTGACTTTGGCGCATACTGATGCTGCACTGACGACGGGGTATAGGCTATCAGCCTTCTTCGCGACTGTGATCTGTATTGTAGGCCAGATCCTTTCCAACTTCTTCTGGTAGATTTCCGGTCTGCCAATTGTGTCGATGTAGATCTCCTTGACGTTGACGCCTTGTGCCAGCACCCCTTTGATCAAGTCGATGGTCGCATCCATAGCCTGCGCATTGAGATTGTACACATTTGGGGACAGCATGTGCGCTGAGATGTCTTGCGCAGACATTACGCGTGTTGCCCATCCACCAGCTTCGTAGAGATCTGAGCCTTGGGTGCACAGTTTGCGCATCAGGTTCGAGCGAACTTCGGGAGTCAGGACTTTGGAGTCGTCAAAGTGGTGCGTTTCGGCAAGGAGCGAATGGTGAAGTTCAATTGGTAGGTAGAAGAGGGCGTACACCATAGGGCCTGCATGTGTTAGTGACTGAGAAGGCTATCGCAAGGAGACCAGTACCTAAGACGGGACCTCGCCCAGCTTCATCAACACCCAGCACGACTTCTCCAGACATGTCGTCTGCAATCTGCTTGGGAATGGGCGAGAAGTGCGAGTATGACTTCCCGCCAAGAATGCCTGATTTGGATATTGAAGGTGCCATGAAGACATCTGAAGGTGGTGTTTCGAGCTCAATGCCTTGGGTATCCATCTGAACATCTTCTTGTAGTTCTGCCATGTTTGCGATTGTATGTTCCTGTGGCTATGGTCGTATGCGCGATGTTGTGTGTCGTCGTAGTAAAGTGGTTGATTGAGTGAGACGCGACGCGTTTCCTCGGCGGTTTCCACGCGACCCACCGATACGCTAGCGATGTGAATGGCACCGGCGCACCTGCACCACGGCAAAGCCCACACACACCTTATGCGTAGGGCACGGCACAGTGCATGCAGTTTTCTACGCTTTTCTCCCAAACCTACTGTATAGGGTTGGTTCGCACCGGCAAGTCATGTTCGTACCACCACACAAAGCGTTTCGCTGCATGAGTGCCGCCGAGGCCAGCACATTTCTTCCCGGGGGCCGCATGGAGTGTGCCCAGGTGTGATGGGCGGTACTTCGTAGCACAGCACGCTAAAGTTGCGAATTCTCACACACGGTATCACATTGAACCTATTTAACACTACTGTAGATGGTCTTGCTCACGCCGCTTCTGATACTCTCCTGTACCCAATTCGGTAGTCCTCTCAGCATGCTGACCTTGCCTATACCGCTTGGCAAGATGACCTGGCCACCGCTGCAGCTCATTATTTGCCCTACAATCGCATCGGCAACGGCAGTGGGCTCGAGAATAGGAGATCCTCGCCTCTTGAGTTCCTGCTCTACGGGCTCAAGCAGAGGTGTGCGGACCCAATTGGGGTGTACGGAAGTCGTGAGAACGTTTGGGCTGTTGTAGTGGTGCTTGAGTTCCTGGTTGAGCGCTATCGTGGGTCAGCATGCTGCAAGTAAGAAATGGACAAGGAAGTTACCTTCGTGGAAGCTCAGAATAGCTGCCTTCGTCGCTGTATAATCTGCCAGGCCAGCGACACCGATGAAACTGGCGGTGCTTGCGATCGTCACGATATGGCCCTTGTTGTGCCGGAGCATGTCTGGTAGGAAAGCTTTGGTAGTGTACCAGTTGCTGAGGACGTTTACGTCGAAAATCTTTCGGAGGTACGCGTCGGATGTGGTGAGGATGGTATGGGATGCCAGGAGCCCTGCGTTGTTGATGAGGATTGTAGGTGCCCCCATTGTTTCCTTGACTTTCTCGGCGACTGAGTAGACTTCAGAGGAGTCGGTGATGTCGCATTTGAAGAACTTAAGGCCGGCGTCTGTCGTCTTCGTTAGTACCAGGCGGTCTAGCGTAATGAGTATCAGACTGTCTTACAGCCTTGCAGACTTGGGGGCAACTGCTGAATGTCTAGGACAGCCACTCTTATTCCCTTGTTGATCAACCTCTTCACGACCAGCTCTCCAATACCGCTGCAGCCTCCTGTGATGACTGCGACCTCCCGGCTCCAGTTCCATCTCGCCTTTTCACTTCGCAATCTGCCTGCGTTCAGGGCAACATGGTTAAGCTGCTTGTTGACGACTCTTGCTGATCCTGCTATCAGACACCACTTCAAAGCCTTCACGAGCTGCGCATATCGAAACGGGTCCCGAAGAGCTTTGATCCGAGTTGTAAGTTGGCTGCGAAGTTGTGTAGGTCCTTTCGTCAATACCCAAAGCAGAGCGGCTGTGACTAGAGGGTTGAGTGTGATGTGACCAGCAGTTGTTCCAGCGATATTAAATATGTGATGTAGTAATTTCGACATATTTACGTTCGCATCCAAAGTGTAAAGGTCAGAGTGCGCAACCTGAGCATTCCATCGGAAATGTCACTTATGCATGATCTCCAGGTCTATATAGCGCGCTGCGGGTCCGATCGCGTCAAAAGAGGGGACCATACGCCGCCAAATGTGTCTAACTGAGCGGACTTGGAGCCGACGACGTCGCAGCCTCGGCTTCGCATTCTCTTCTGCTTGTGCACGTAGACATTGAAAGAAGGTTTCGACCGAATAGACGGATATCCAGTAAGCTCTAGGGAAAAGATTGCAGAGCCCTGCAGCTGTAGGCAGCCTCAAAGGCACTTGCATGGAAGTGTATACCTAGGTAAGTGCTTCGATATGAAGGCATGCGTACCAGCACAGGCACCAAGATTGCTAAACCAAACTGCGCCCAATCTGTGTGAACATGATATGCCTAGTTCATTATTTTCTTTTCTTCGCAATCTGTACAATCGCTTGAGGAACGCAGCCACTTCGGTGACAATGCACATCCCATTGTGCAATCACTGCCGCCCTGCATCAGTCTCCGAGGCTATTCTGCAGGAATGCTGTGGAGGGTGGCAAATAGGAATGGCAGGCGCAGCTGTGCATTGCTTCTCGGGTGCAGAGGTCCGATGGCGTGGCTACCGGATTGGTCGATAGCACACGTGTTGCTGCTTCCTCCAGGGCTGCTCCAACAAACTTTATGAGGAAGTCGCAAGCAAAAGCCTGCCAACCAGACATGAATTGCGCGATGCCTCTGGATGCGTTACTTCCTCTGGCCATGTTACATACAGGAGCACCGCTTTGGCCTGCTTTTAGCCGGTTCCACGAAGCCCACCCTGACTCCTCTGCTGATTGGCGGCTGCAAGGTGCGTGCGGGGAAATGCCTGGTTCTCTATTCTGAAACGAGAGCGGTCAGGCCCATCTAACCGCATCGGCTGCATGGGAGAACGAGGCGCCTCATTTACAAAGATCGCCATTGTCGCAAAGAGATGGGCATTTGGTGAGATGCAAAGCCAGGGAATCGAAGAAGGGTCGGTTGATGTCGCCTACTGGCAAATAAACCAAACTTTCGGTAGCAGAAAACAGTCAGAGACAGACTCAGTCCTCCTGCACGACATGTCTACCAGAATGGCGCGGCACGCGTAGCGGCATACGTCGGTGTTTGAGACGATCGATGCCCCGCCAGTCCTTCGGCCGTGGAAGCTACACTGCCCCTCCTAGTACTTATTGCGGTACTACTAGATGCTGCAAGCCTGACTGGCTGGGGGACTTTTGGGCGAAGAGCTGCCGGATGACGTGAGGGCATTGCGCACCGCCCGCCGGCATCTCCATCCCACTCCAGGGGCCTGGAACGCGCTGTAGAGAAGCATTCAGAACCACGTTTGCCGCGCATATCGAGTTAGAGTGGGCCGCGTTGGATAGCGGAAGGCTGTGACAGCTGCGCGGAGCTGCACAAAGGCTGGGACGACACGCATAAGTTGAAGCCATGACTACAACGTATGTTTAATCCTGGGGATGCGATGCGCGTTTGCGTGCTAGATAGCCTCTACAGTAGCTGCGCATGTACAGTAGACAGCTGCGGGAGAACAGGAGGGTCCAAAACCTCAATTGGGCAGAGTACGCGACCAGCAGATGGGCAATATGTGCGGAATCCCACCCAGCACTAGTTGGAGCGCCACATCGTCCCCTGATCAGTGATGGACCCTGAGCTTTCGAGTCCAACGCTCCACTCCCGCTCCATCTATAGACTTGGACTTGCTCTTTCGGCGCCTGAAGTTGAACTGTTGGCCAACCCTTCCAGACTTGCTCCGACTGTCCTTACCCACGACTCGTGCTGTGCATAGGCCATCGAGTGCGCGCTGCTGCGACCCGCACCACATCGACTTCCGTTCCTGCCTACGTACCGAGCCTCCAACCACGCTTCCGTCCCGACTCTGTACGACCACGAACAGCGAGCAGCGAGGGCAGCAAGGGCATTTGCCCCGTGTACGAATTATCTGTATGTAAATGCGCCTTCCGTGTCTGCAGTGAAGCGGTCGCGGCTGCCATGTGAACTTCACACCGCCCGCCAATCCCCCACACCAGCTCCCAGGGCAGTCGCGCTGACGTGACGGCAGTGTATTTCTAGTATTCTAGCCAGTATGGCCTACCAAGGCATGGGAGGAGGCAACGGCCTCAGATCCCCGCGCGAAGAGCAGTCGTTCCTTTCCCTGAATCGCGCCGCCCAGAACGGCGATGGCCGCGCGACCCTGCAGCGCCGCTTCACGACCAACAACATTCCGACCATGAGCACGCCTCTGTCGCCAATCGGACAACAACGTAGACAAGCGGCTGAGCCGACCGAGTTTACTACAGCGGTATGTGGCCACTCTCGTACACGTAAGAGGCGGATGTTCAGTGTTGGGGCTCCGCGGCGCTTTGCATGTCGGTACTCAGCAGCTACCGCAGCCATGTCGGATATACTTGAAACGACATAGTATGGCTGCGCTGGTAGAGCTGCTGTCCGTTAGCTATTATACACACGCGGTGACCAAGAGTTTGGGCTAACGACCAATCCCAACAGACGTACCACAAGCTCCAAGTTGTAAGTCTACTTCACTGCGTCTTTCTGCGTGTCTCTCACTTGTCACCCCACAAATCCTACTGGAAGTAAGATTGCAGTCGTTGCCAAGGCTACCTGTCCAGGCGACGCCCATATTGACCAACAATTGTCTTTTGCCTTTGTCTCTCCTACACCACAAAAGTCCCACTCTTCAAAAGCTAGCTTTGCTATCATTACTCCTGTACATTTCTCTGTCTCATTTGAGACTCTATTCCCTATCTATATCCTCATCTCTTCCCATCTGCATCGTCTTACGTCACGAGCGACGCTGTTGCCTCACGACAAACGCGCTCAAACGCACTCGCCGGTCTGTGTGACCAGCTAACAGCTTGCTAGCTTGAGAGAAAACGGATCGAACACGAGTATCTCAAAGAAGCAAAACGGCGATTCGACGCTGAGATGGAGCTCCTCAACTTGCAAGCACAGCACGGCGAGAGTGACATCAACCGATTCTCGGCTGATGCTCACTACGGTGGACCTGCGCATAGCCAGCCCACTACCCCGCCCGAGTACAACGAGAGCAACGGGTTCCCGTCTGCTTTGTCGCGTCCGAACCGTTTCAGCATGTCCAGTATCAACCCGGGTATGACCACACGCGGTAGCCGTGCCAACTCTCAAGTCACTTCCCCTCCCGCCAACTTCCAGGGCAACGGCAACTTGCCTTCGCACTCAATGCCAGGATCTCGTCGCAACTCTGAGGAGGACCACGACGACTTTGAGAACGACGACTTTACTCCTCTGAGTCCGGCGGCGCGCAAGTAAGTTGGCCCATCACAACATCACCTCAAACACTGCTAACCCAAATAGAAACAACCGTATGTCCATGCCCGTTACTAGAACGGACTACGGTGGCCGCGGAAACCTTCCAGATGTGGGCTCGCTTCTTGGTCATATTGATACTGCCGGCTTCTTGTTTGGTGATGACGCATCAGCTGCCACTCAAGACCAGAAGGCTTTCCTCCAGATGGGTAATACCAAGGACGACTTCCCAGTCTTGGTCCGCCGCGATGGTGCTGGTAATGGTACGAACTTCTCTGCCTCTTCCGCTGCACTTGATTTGGCCCTTTCACAGTCCCCTGGCCCGGATGCTCAGTCCACTGGTTGGAACGGACACCGTCATCGTCAGGCTCAACAGTCCCTTCCTGCTAACACTTTCCGTAAAGCTTCTCAGATGGATGACTATGAGTCTGGTCGATCCAACGGCGCCGAGACCACTCCCAAGAACAACCGTCGCTCGGTCGAGTTCAGCTTCAGCCCCAAGAACAACGAGTCCAAGCGCGCTAGCTACGGCGGCCCGACCAACGGCATGCCCAAGTTGACTCAGTCGTACTCCACGAACGATGTTCCGACTCTGAAGAATGGAGCGAACGGCGCCAATAGTATCGGTTTCACGCACTCGCAGCAATTCCACAACCACAACGCTAGCCTTGGTCGCATTCCGTCAAATGTCTTGTCCAACCGCAACAGCCGCGATCTCTCACTCGGTAACCGCGAGGCTGAGTACCGATCTCCACAGTCTGGCTTGCACGCCAGCGCTGCACCTTTCGGTCCTGGTATGACTTCAGCTGCCAACGGCAACGGCGTAGTCTCGTCGACTGTCGGTTCACCAGCCATGTCGCAGTACTCGAGTGTTTCCGCTGCCAACCCAGGATACTATGGATACGGTATGAACATGCTCAACGGTGCTATGAATGGTCTCAACCTTGGAGGTGGGCCCGGTCCTCAGTATGGTGGACCTACTGCTTACGCTCCCAACGGCATGTACGGTAATGGACCGTCGCAGTACAACCCATACGCTACCTATGGCCCAGGTGGTCGCGTACAGGACAGCCAGGCTCGCGTCATCCAGAGCCGTCGTCTGCAGAACGACGCCAACAAGTACATGAACTACGATCTGAAGACCATGCCCCGTCACGAGATCTACAGTTTGTGCAAAGATCAGCATGGTTGTCGGTTCCTGCAGAAGAAGCTTGAGGAGCGCAACGCGGAGAACATCCAGATCATCTTTGATGAGACTGCCCCTCATGTCGTTGAACTCATGACTGATCCTTTCGGCAACTACCTCTGCCAGAAGTTACTGGAGTACTGCAATGATGAGCAGCGCAACACTCTTGTCCGCAACGCTTCCCCTGCGATGGTTCAGATCGCGTTCAACCAGCACGGCACTCGCGCTTTGCAGAAGATGATCGAGTTCATCTCCACCGATGATCAGGTATGTTACGACCCCCGGTATTCTCCCATCTCCGAGCTAATCCGTACCCAGACTCAGATGATCATTCACGCATTGTCTGGACAGGTCGTCGATCTCATCCAGGATCTGAACGGCAACCACGTCATTCAGAAGTGCCTGAACCACCTCAAGTCTGTGGAGGCCCAGTTCATCTTCGATGCTGTAGGCGAGAACTGTATCACTGTTGGTACTCACCGCCATGGTTGCTGTGTTCTTCAGCGTTGCATTGACCACGCCGTCGGTTTCCAGAAGGTCGATTTGATCCGCAAGATCACTGCCCACAGCTTCCACCTTGTGCAGGATCCATTTGGCAACTACGTGGTTCAGTACATCCTCGACCTCAACGATGCGGCCTTCACGACCCCCATGTGCCAGGGTTTCCAGACCAAGATATGTGAGTTGTCCAAGCAGAAGTTCAGCTCCAACGTCATCGAGAAGTGCATCCGCTGCGCCGAACCGCACGTCAAGGGCATGATGATTGAGGAGTTGCTTGACGTCGAGCAGCTTGAGCAGCTCATGCGCGACTCTTACGGCAACTACGTTATCCAGACTGCGCTTGAGTTTGCTCCCGCCGAGCTGTGCGTGCACCTGATCGAGGCGATGCGTCCGATCCTGCCATCCATCCGCCAGACTCCTTACGGTCGTCGCATCATGAGCAAGGTTAGCGAGCGCGAGAGCCGTCTGGCTGCCTACACTGGCCGTACTTCATCTGGTCAAGGCTCGCCCGGTGCTGGCCCAGGTTCTGAGTCGAGCTCGGTCTTCAACCAGGCCCAGCCCCAGTACCAACCTCCCAACGGTTCCTCTGGCTACCAGACACCCATGTACACTGCAACCGCAAACTATGGTCCGAGCATCATTTCACCTCAACCTCACCGCCAGCCGCACCGCCTGAGCAACCCGCACCACATGCACAACCCTGTTCAGGACAACCGTCAGGGCTACGCTGGCTACCAGCAGCAACACCAGTACGGCATCCCTCAGACCAACGGCGGCAACGGCAGCTGGTTCTAGAAGAGCCAAGCGGTCAACGAGGTTATGATTTGACGAGCTACGGATTGTCCAAAAGCACATCAAGACGCAACATGGTTACCAGTAGAGTACACTGGTGTTGGCGTTGTCATTTTGGTGGTTTGATCTTCTTCCATGTATCGGTCCTGTCTGTCTGATTGGGCGGATCGATCTTGTATAGTACGACTACACGAGCATCATCGCGCGGCCTCGGCAGCATTCGGCATATTCGGCGTACGGATCTGGGCTACACGGCGTTCTTCCCTTCCCCCTTCATTGATTGTATTCTATCCCTTCATTTCCCCCAGCGATCACTTGTCTTCACGATACGGCACCTTGGTGCACCAAAAGGAACGTTTCAGCATGAGCACGAAAACGAACAGCACGAGCACTGTCGCCGTATAGGCAGCCTCTTGATTTTCACCTACACCTTGCAATGGCACTTGCCGTGAGCCTGGAGCTAGGTGGCAAGTCTATGTAAATGAATAAAGGATCATATTCCAAACTTGATATGCACTTGCGTGATGTTGTACTATGGTCGAGGTGAATGGAAACAACAAAGACATGGCAGTGACGATGTTGCAATGGATTGTGGCCAAGGTTGCATTGATGTGACGAGGGGTCCAGCGGAGCGACTGCCGTGTGACATGTGAGGCGATGACGCGCTTTGAACTTCGGCTCGGGACCAGCCATTTGAAACATGCACCTGCCCAGTTGCTCCTAGACACTTACAAACCACGCCGAGCACCACCAGTAAACCTCTCGCGACGTCCAAAAGCACTTAAACACGATAAGACAGCCGCCTGACGCTCTCACTCTTCTTAAACGTCTTCCGGCACCGCAACCACAGCTCCGAGACGCCCAAGACATAATGCGCTTCGCCATCTTCTCCTTCCTGGTTGCGCTCCTCGCTGCCTTCGTCATGGCCAGCGCACCCCACCGCTCCGTCATCATCAGCTGGCCCAACGACACACCCGACGACATTGTCGAGCAGAGCAAGGAGGCGATCCGACAGGCCAAGGGTGAGAGACATGCGACATGGACATTTGTGAAGGACTTATGCTAACAAGACTCTAGGTGTCATTACCCACGAGTACAACATCATCAAGGGCTTCGCTGCCACCGCCCCCGCTGCCGCTCTCGACATGGTGTCGACGTTGAGCGACGTGTACAAGTGTGAGATTGAAGAGGATGGCATCGTTACTACACAGAACAACAAGGAGTAGCTGGATGGGGAAGGAAGAGGGCAACAAATTGGAAGGAACGGCCCTTTAATTCAATGTGCTTATGATTATACGTCTGGAGTCTGGAGTCTACTAAGGATCGGACTGGGCGGAGTTGGATGAGAATGTCAACTAGACAATACATTAGGCTTCTGATTTATGTAGAACATACTAAGTCCATCCTCGATATTGACTGTGGGCAACACCAACATATTCCATGGCCATGCGTATCGCTACTGCAGATTGTTGCTACGCCAGAGTGCTGTGATCACCGTAGGGTAAGACGGTGGAACCCTGCAGCGGCTCTTTCCCCGCGGGTGGCTGCCCGTGCACGTCGTCTCAGAACAGCGGCGGCTTTATGCGCGTCATGTTCCGTCTGTCAAAAGGCAATTAGGGAATCTCAGGCTGATGCCCCTCACTCGACGCATATCGCACGACTCTACGCCTCGCTACACACCGATTGACGACGTCGCCGCGGGAATGTGCTGCATTCCGGCTTAGCGTTCGGGCTCCCAACCTCACCGACGCGCGCGACACGTCCTCGAGCAAGGACTCAGCCTGTGCATGGTGGAGCACGTACACTTCACCGCAAAACCACAGACACCGAGATGCATGACTGTTATTCACTCGACTCCGACCGCATAACAGCATTGACAGACCGACACGCGGGTACCAGGCCCCGCGACACTCCACCATGGACGACTTCAAGCCCGAGCTGCTCAAGGCTCTCCTCGACTGGGTACGTCTCCACGTGCCGCCTACTACACGTCCGAGTGGACTAGCTGACATTCGCGTCTAGGTCAACACTTTCGACCTCCCCCACAGAATCACGTCGCTGAGCCAGCTCGAAGACGGCCAGATACTGTGGCAGATCCTCGCCGACATCGACGCCGACTACTTCAACGAGTCCCTCCCAAATTTCGAAGAGAACCACCGCCGCCAATCAGACAATTGGATACCGCGATGGCAGAACCTCAAATATATCGAGCGCACAACCTCGACCTACATACGCGAAGAATGCGAGCAGCTGCCCGTCCTCACCAAGCGCATGATACCAGACCTCAAGGCAGGCGCGAGGGATGGATCAACAATGCTCGTTGCAAAGCTCACCATGGCTGTGCTACTGGCGGCATGCTTCTCGCCGCGCAGCAACCAGCGCATGCTGCAGGTCATGCCCAAGCTGGGCCAGAAGACGGCCGAGACGATTGCCGAAGCCATACAAGAGATGCAGGCCTTGGACCAACGCATGTCGGAACTAGGCGTCGATGCCGAGCTGACCTCAGAGCCAGTTCTCTCAGGGTATAGAACACCCACACGAGCAATATCTGGCCAGCCACCCCCGGCAGGCAACGAGTTGGAGCAGGAGGCACAGCTGTTCGAGGCAAACAAGGACAGGCAAGCACTCAAGGCGCAGGTTGGAAAGCTACTTGAGGAGCTCAAGACTTCACGAGAACGCATATCCAAGCTCGAAGAAGAAGTCGCAGAAGCGACTGCCTATCTCGACGTTCGGGCCGGCCAGGCACAACGCGCCCAATCCGACGATGTCGAAAACCTACGCAACGACTTACTGCGTGACAGACAGTACATCGACCAGCTCGAACAAGACCTCGCGCATACGAGAGAGATTATGGAAAGCCAGAAGCGACGTCTCGATCGGCTAGAGGGCGAGGAAGGATCCAAACAAGACTTGCGAGATCAGCTGCAAGTCGTCAAGGCAGAACGCGACGAGCTGAGCCAGAAGGCCAAGGCAAACGAGAATCTGAAGAAGAAGATCGAGTCTCTCACCAAGGAAACCAAACAACTGGAGACGCTGCGTGAAGACTACCAACAAGCCCGTGAGCGATTAGCTCAGCTTGAAGGCGTCGAGGAGCGTATCGATATCCTGCAGAACATCATCAAGGAGAACGGTCAAACGCTTGCCAACGGAGAGCAGGCTATCTTTGAAGAAAAGGGCAAACGCACCCGAATCGAGCATGAGAACCTCCTCCTTATGAAGCAGTTGGAACAGACTCGCGAACTACAGTACAAAGCAGAAGATGCCAAACAAGAGCTTGAAGAACGGATACGAGAACTAGAATCATCCAATCATGCTGACCGTGGAGGAAGCCTGGAAGACGAGCTTGAACAGGACGAGAACGCGAATCAGGACACCGACACGAAGCCTACATCTGATGGACGAGTGAGCGCAGATGCGATTGCTCTACAGCAACGGGTCGATATCTTGAATGTGCGTTTGAAGTCGCTAGAAAGCGAGACACTCAAGCAGATGCAAGAGAATCTGGGTCTACGGTCTGATATGATGGCGGAGAAGGATGAGAACAGCCAGAAGTAGGTGACAGCTCCATGTGGATTGGACGTTGCTAATTTCCTGTCTGCAGACCATTTCTGGAACAGAACGAAAAGCTACAGACTGCTCAAACCGAGCTGGAAGAACTTCGTCGCCGGTTACGAGAACAAGACCTGCAAATGGCAGAACTTCGCAACGAACTCAACAGGAGTATGTACACCGATTCATCCACGTGATTGTGCTAACTCTGCTAGAATCCGACATCGACGACGATACGCGCACAGCTGCTGTCCAAAAGGAACACGAGCGCCTACTGGTACTGCAAGAGAGGACCAACGACAGACTACGGGAGCTCGAAGTTGCGAATGCGGAGAAGCAGGGTCTCTTACGAGCAGCGCTGCTCGATCGCCAAAACCTACCGCCAGAGCTTCTTGAGCTCAAGAGGGTCGAAACGATACGGGAGATGCGTGAACGGATAGAGTCTGTCATCAAAGCCCCCGCAGAAGTACAACCGCAAGTGCTAGATACCACGAGTTCGGAGATCGCCGAGACTGTGCTATCCTCCGAAGCAGCTCTGGACAAAGCAAAGAAGGTAAGTAACAAACAGATCTCTCATAGCAAGTCGCCTTCCTCCGCGTTCGACGCAGCGGTTTCGGCAATGAAGAAACATCAGCTTGAACCTTCGTTCACTGCGGCTACTCTTGTCTCGCCGGCTTCGCCACATCGGACCCATCTCGGAAAGGATAAGTCGCTATCGGACATGTCTACTTCAACAGCTGGGACGGGGCAAACTACATGGGGCCGCATGGCGCAGCTAGTCTCGCCAAAGCGGAGGACCAAGTCGACCATGTGCGGCACCGAGTACTACACGATGCAATCGTCCAATGACTGTGTGGCAAGTTTGTCCCTGGCCTGGCTGCCAGAGTATACTTATCCAACCGACTTCATCCCCCTTTCATACCCTCCACTCATCTCGCCGCGCCCATGCTAACCCCCAACCGCAGGACCTGCAAGACCAACTCACAACTAACAGCACACTTCGCGAGCAACTCGAGCTCGCAAAGAAGGAGACGTCAGAGAAGGGCTCGGTATGTCGCGTTCCCTCCCTCTCCAGAACAGCGACGTGGCAACCTTGGATATGGTAGTAACAAGTGCTCCAACAAACAGGTGGAACTCCAACAAGAAGTCGAAAACCTGCGCCGCGAAAACGCCCTGGTCAAGTCCATGTGGTACGACATGAACCAGCGCCTCCTCAGCAACACCGTCATCCTGCAAAGACGCAGCGAAGCACCCAAAGGCTGGCTCGGAAAACAAAGAGCCGCTGTCGGCGGCTCCAGCGTCTTAGTACGTTAGCTCCCCTCTTCCTGTAAACACGCTGTTTGTGTATGTATTTCCAAGGGCTGACTGGGTACAGGGCCGGAGGTAGCAGGAGCTGTAACCGCATCGCCTTCTCTGCGGCCGACGCCCTCGTCGGTGGGCAACGGCTACGCTGCTGCTGGCTCGTCGGATGGCGTGCTCGTTTCTTTTCTCTTCATTACGCATTTTGTAGGGCCGCGGAATCGGGTTTGGTTCAGCATAGCGCAGGTTTGGTGGCATTTGTATTGCGTGAGGATGTATAGACGTATTGTCTTTTGTCACTTATACCCCCTTTTATTCCTTTGCAGTAGTTTGTAGAGAATCAAATATACTACATCAAGTGGACAGCAGAGCTTTTGGGTGGTGTTGTTTAGATATCGGGTAGCAAGCGTTTTGTTATGAGGAAATAGATACATGTACATTGGTATTAAGAATGAAAAAGGTTTGAGCAACATGTAAAATGAGTGCACTTGGTGGGTGATGATGTCGAATTAGATTGTGAAGACGTTATCCGACAGAAGTGACATAACTAGGTACACACAACACACAGATAACTGTTAGACTGTAACGTTGCATTAGCTTCCTCCTTCCGCTTCGTCACTACGCTAATCTTCCGTCCACATTCCCCATCCTCACACATCAGATTCTCCGCACCATCATATCCATTCCATCCTCCTACCACCCCAATCCAAAGTCAACTCAGCACACTCAGTACTCAGCCAACCTCAGCCTCCTCCCAATATTCCTGCGTATAACGTCGCGCTCGACGGGTTCGTTCTGCGCTCGATTCGCATTGAGTGCCTGACGAAGCATTCCCGCATCGAAGAAGCCATCTAGAAAGGGGGGAAAGTAAGAATCAGCGATCAATGAAACAGAGGGAAACAAGGTAGTATGCTGGTGGCGGGTGAAGGTGATGATGAAGTCTCGTGTGCGCATGCCGCTTGTGCCGCTCAATCCCATCAATAATGTTGGAAAGCAAAGGGGAAAAAGTCTCTAATGAGGAAAGAGAGAACATGTAAAATACTAAGAAGAGTAAAAAATCGGTTTCCTCGCCGCAACAGGCGCTTTCCTCGCCTTAACCGTCTTAACAACCGGAATGGGTTTACGCGGCGAGCTCTGCAAAACAGGCGTCATGGGTTTGAAAGGCGGAGAATGAGGAGGCGTAGGCGGTAAACCACCCACAGCAGGAAAAGGCTGCGAAGAAGACGGCAAAGAGGAACAAGAAGCATGGCTTGAGACTTCATCGAGGGAAAGAAGGGAAGGAGGGGAAGGGGGAGTCCTACATCCACCGAGACCATCGTCGTCGTCATCATCTACTATACTCTCTGCAGGCGTCTGTTGTTTTCCGCCATCTCCTAGGATGATTCTGCCTCTGCTTTTGAGACGGGTGGCGAGGGGTCTGTCTTCCGCTTCGCGGGCGCGGGTCGCGGTTTTATCGGCGGATGTTCCGCGGCGCTTGATTTGGCGGAGGAGTTTGCGTATCTCCAAGAAGTAGGATTCCAGCGCGTCGATGTAGCGTGAGGTTTGGCGGTGCTTGGAGGACGCGCAGATGGATATGCTGCCGTCTTTTATGATGTAGCCTATGCCGAAGCCGTCGGCGGACGTGGGACCGAAACCGAATTGACGGAGCGAGGGGTTGCCGCAGTTGGAGGTCGAGAGGATGGTTTGGTTGATCTTGTCCCAGCCGCTGTCGGCGAAGAGGGCGGGCATCGAGTGCTGCATTGGTGCTGGGGGTGGCGAGCTCGAGATGGAGTCGTTCTCTGAGAGGACAGAATTGCGGTTCGGTGAGCCGACACCTGATGCGTCGGCGCTGGATGGCCGTGTGGAGTCCCAGCCGTCACTACTGGCTGTGTCATTTGACTCGTCAATGGCTCGCTGCCAGATGCAGTACAAGGCGTAGAGATGGCGGTCAGGGCCTTGGGCTTTGGAGCAGATCTTTGTGTTTTCCGTGTGCTTCTGGCACGCCTTTCGGAGTGCTTCGATCTTCTGCGAGGCTGGGTTCTCGCCCCAGAACGTCGTCAGGAAGTCAACCGACTCTTCTGTTACCGAACGGATGGCTTCCGTACGTCCGTGGTAGTAGATCTTGGTCATAGCGGGTTCGTATACGCATTCTATCCGTCCATATAGACCGTAGTACGCTGCCTGGAAAGCCATTTGAACAAAGGCATCGGGCGAAAATCCCATCGAAGTCATGAAGTTCTTGCCATAGTGAGGAAATTCTAGAGTCGCGAACTCATTCTGCTGAATGAGGTCTGCCAGGCGTGTCTCGGCAAAACGAAGTGCTGTGCTGAGTTCAGGAAGCATGTCCCACTCAAGCTTGTGAGGTGTTGTTTGTACATCGCCGAAGCTGTCTGGGTCGCGCTTGGCAGGGTCGGGACTTGATGAAGCCCAAAGACTCGGCGCACTGCCGTTGATGGTTCTCGCGAATCGGAGAATGGTGTCGGTGTATACGTCGGAAGCGAATCTGAGCACAGTATGGCCATCAACACCAGTGTGCTCAAAGTTGATACCTGCACTTCCGTTCTTGCAAACGATGATTTGCAGCTTGTCGTACCAGCGGTTCGTGCATGTTCCCACCTGGACACCGCGCTCAATCTTGCTTGTACCGCAAAGCATGTTCATGCACAGATCGGCACCTGTCTGCGGTTCGGTGTAGTCCAGGCAGAGGATGAATAATGCTGAGTCAACAATGTTGAGGCAGTCAGAGTTGTTCGAACCCTCTTCCCTGTGCAGCACGTCACGGAGACCAGCCCAGACCTTTCGGTTCTCTGTACTCAGCACACCCAGTGCTCCTTTGGCGGCATCTTGAATCGGTACCTCCTGCGCGTCATCGACAATGACTTGCAGATTGAGAGCAATGTCCTTCTCCGTCATGATCAGATCGTGGTTGTCATCCAGAACGTCGAACCAGTAGAACTGGCCATAGCACATGACGACCACGTGCTTCGAAGTCGGGTCTTGACCGATCTGACATCCATGCTCAGTGGGTATTCTGGCAGTACCGAACAGTCTTGAGTACTGGTACATGCACAGTGGCTGACCACGGATGGTGTCAGGCGGTAGTTCCTCGCGACGGACAGCTCTAACAAACGACAGTGCCGAGACGACTAATGAGGCGGCGCGAGTGACTTGGTTATTGCGAGCCGGGGTGGGATCATCCTCCAGTAAGAAGAATGGATTTAAATTAAGTACCACCGGGTTATCGAAGTTCAGATATGAATCATACCCTAGCGACAGGTCAGCCTATGATACATGAATATGGATCACTTTCCACTGTCGATCTTGAAATGCCTCAAAAATAGCTCATTTTGCCAACTGAGAGGGTACTTACAGAACTGCTCGATGTAGTTGTTCTTCCCACTAGCGTACTTCTTCAGCTTCTCCTGCAGCACAGGTCCATCAGTCTTGAGGAAGTCCTCTACCGAATGGACTGTGTCGCTGTGTTCCTTTGGAGACTGCAAGGGTTTGAGAGCGGCAATGTATTTCTTGCACGAACTGTCGAGCTCTGGGATAGGAAGCTTTGGTAGACTATCCTCGTGTGCGAAGGTAATGCCCGGTCTTGAGTTCGGGTTGGTATGGCTTGCTAACGGTGCTTGTGCCTCTGAGGAGTAGGACTGAGTACTCTGCTTTGCGGACTCCGCCGAGCGGGTCGTGCCGTTGCCTTCTGAGCCAGACATCTTGGATGCCTTATCAAGTGTATCCTCAAGGGACGACGGTTGGGTGAAAGTGCGGACTGCCATGGCAAGGGTGTCAGTTAGGCGTATAGGGGTGAGATGGAGGTGGCAATGTTGAGATGCCGCAGAGCACTGCGATAGAAGTAGTGACAGTCCTGAAGACAGTAGGCCGGCATGGGTACTCAAAGTTCGCAAAGAGCATCAAGGTACTTGGGGAAGGCAAGACTCTTATAAGAGTCAAGACGAACGGGGAAAGTAGAATTAGGGCGGGTCCACATGGCGACTTCGCATGTGAAACGCGCGATAGGCTTCGTAATAAAAGAGACAGGCGATGCAAGATGCCGCTCAGGTAGCCGACCGCTGACCCGGAACGTGACCCGGAGCATGGCAGACCAGAGAGGTGAATGACCCGATGTTCTAAGCCAACGAAACGCCCATGCAAGGAGAATGCAACTTACACAGTAGCGTCGAGCTCTAAATGAGCTGCGGATAAGTCTGGCGGAATTTGTCCAGATCTGGAGAGTAATCGAAACTGCTGTAGTCAAAGTACCTCTGTTGCGCAACGACTTACTGTACTCCAATGGGCCTCTCGCGCTCTCGACGATGCAGCAGGACCAGGGTAAAGGACCGGAAAAGGTGTGCCGCGGATCGAAGCACAGCAAATGTCAGAGAGACTCGGTCGTGAGGATACGGTAGGCGCGTAAGGCTGCCCCGAGGTGTACTAGTGGGCCTGTTAGAAATCAGCTATCTACGTTACGGACGAGTGGAAGCGTCGGCGGTAGCGCGAACTTATAAAGGGCACGCACCGTCGCGTAGGCAGTCCGGTTAATCGGAGAAAATGTACCTGGTCAGCTTTAGAAGAGGTACGGCAATGGGTGCAGGCACAATAGTAGGATGTAACTATGGTCTATGGCTACTTGGATCACACTGCGCTCTACTCTACGTACGGCAACCTGAGGAGTCGATGTCTGGGCTCCGTCTTGGGCGGACTGGGATTGGAGAGTGGCTGAGGTATGCCAACGTGTGGAGAAGCGGGGGATCCAGGTGTGACGTAGGTCACGGACCATAGGAGAAACGGAACCCCCACCACGCTGTCGTGTATGGACTAGTCGGCTAGCGGCCAAGAGCTTCTCGAACCGTCGCGAGCAGCTTTCATCACGCGTCAGTCATCCCGTCCGCCTCCAACGCTCCGCCCGCCGTGACATTTGACCGAAAAGGCGAGTCCGGAACGAGAGTCGCGCGTGCCATCCGCAGAGCCGCGCAAATGCGACACCTCTCTGGCCCATGACGGATCTGCTGCAGGTGCTGCCTGACTTTGACGCGAAACCCTACACCCACCTGCTGCCCTCGCTCGACAAGGCCCTCATCACCGCCAATGACCTGCTCACCCTCGACGCCGCCGATGTTGCTAAACGCGCCCAGCTGCCCGCCGGTGAGCTGAGGAAGCTCGCTGATGCCGTGATAGCTGCTCTGCATCTCCAGCTTGGCTTCGGCGGAGAGGAAGCTGCCGTCGGCAATTCCTTCCTTTCCGCTTCCGGTATCCCGGATGCCTCGAATGATGGTTGGACTTGTATAAGCACCTTGGATGAAGAGTTGGACGCCGCCTTGGGTGGAGGCATACCGCGCGGCTATCTGGTAGAGATTACCGGGGAGAGGTGCGGCAGTCCTGGAAATTGCTCCTGAACAATGTACTGACTACTTTCAGTGGTGCCGGTAAAACACAATTCCTCCTAAGCCTGCTGCTGGCTTCACAATTGCCGCCTCCCAAAGGGCTCGCCAAATCGGCAGTTTACATATCTACCGAGGCAACACTATCTACGAAACGTCTCGCCCAGCTGCTATCCTCCCACCCGACCCTCGCTTCACTACCTGCCGACGAAAAGCCCTCACTGTCGCGTGTGCTGAGCATACAGACCCCAGATCTCGAGTCCCAAGAGCACATACTACGCTACCAGCTACCCGTAGCGATTAGAAAGCATGGCATCGGCCTTGTCATCCTGGACTCCGTCGCTGCAAACTACCGCGCCGAGTTCGAGAAGCAAGGCGCCGGCAATGGAGCTGCGGCCATGGCAAGAAGAGGAACCCAGCTTGTACAGCTAGGCGCCCTACTCCGGGAACTCGCTCGCACAGAAGGTATAACCGTTGTTGTAGCCAACCAAGTCGCCGACCGCTTCACGAAAGCGCCGTCTGCGCCGTCCTCCAACGCAGCATCGCGGACAACATCTACAAACAGCCAAGGCAATCAGAGCGCAAGTCAGGGAACAGACCACGACCATGCCACTAATCCAGCCTCACAGCCAGCCGAAAGCATCGTTCTCTCCGCAGACCCCCTCGCTCTCGACCACCAACAACGCTGGTTCACCGGCTGGGGCGACTCGCAATACGAACAGGCGCACGTCCAAAAGACGCCTTCTTTGGGACTTGTCTGGACGAACCAACTCGCGTGCCGCATTGCCCTGAAGAAGATACCCGTCCTTTCTGGTAGTAGACCACTCATACACACTGTCAACGGCCAAGACCAATGGAATGAGCAAGAGGAGAGCCACATCTCAAAGTGGCGACGCTGGTTCAAGGTCGTATTTGCGCCGTGGGCTCCGCCGTCAGAGGGGAGGGGCGTCGAGTTTGAGATAGCAGAGAGTGGGATAAGACATGTAGTTAAGCCAGAGAAGAAATGAAAAACACAATATACACACACATCATGAGCCTTTTTGAGATGCTATTTAAAGACGTGACAGGGCAGAGTCAGATTACATCATGACATTGATTTTCTTCCAGATAGATTCTAAACTTTATACCGCCCCTAGGAACACCTTCGCTAGCCCGGTCGTGAAGAAACCCCTAATGCATGCGTCCGCCTGGTATCCGTGATCCCTAGATACCCCAAAGTTTATAGAAAGAAGAATGTTGTTACAAAAAGACCCAAACGTCCTTCTGCCCTAACAAAGAAAGTCTCATTGCCGTTGAGCACAAGGAGAGAAGAATCATAGGGTGAAGGAGCTTAGTCGGTGATCCTCCAGCTGTCGAACCACTTGAGGTGTTTCCACTGGCTGCTGGGTCCGACCATGCCGAATGAGATGGCACGGAAGAGTACGTACAGGCCGATGATGATGGCATACAGAACGGCGAAGATGGCCCATTGTACCTGCTTGCTGAGCTTTCTTGTGGTGAAGTCGAGGCAGAAGCCCATGACGATGATGGCGAACCACAACGCGGGGTAGTAGTGGTGCACGTAGGTGACACGACCCATGGCGACGAACGGTGCGTAGTGAAGGGCCCAGCCGATGATGGGGTAGATACCGGCGTAGTGGATCTGGTCGATCTCTGATTGCTTGAGATCGTTGTACCCACGTTGCCAGCGCACCAGGTAGAAGACGACGAGGAGACCGAAGATGCCTAGCGAAGCGGTGCTGCCCCAGTAGACGAAGGGGTTACCGAGGAGGAAGTACTTGACGACTGTGATTTTGTGAGTGGGATTTCTGAAGTGGAACAAGAGAAGTGCTTACTGTCGTCGTTCCAGCCGCACATGCGGAGACCGACGTGCAGGATTGGCCATTGCCAGAAGCTGGATGCGAGGTCGTCTTGCTTGTCAGGGTCGGGAACAAGCGCGTTGTTGGATGTCATCATGGCAACGTTGAGATGAATAAAGTCCTGCAAGAAGGGTGACTTGTAGTCGCCAGGGTTGCCCGGGGGTAGTCTCTCGTTGGTGTGGCTCTCGATGTTCCAGTGCGTGTAGACATCACGAGGATTGTTCTTCTTGACGCAAGTTGTCTCGATCTGCTTGAATCCCCATTGAGGAAGGTTGACATTGCCAGCGCGGAGGTAGCAGCCCAGATCCTTGTGTTTCAGACGGAAGGCGGTAGTGAGTGTCCGGAGCTTGGAGTAATCCCTTGAAGCAGCGTCGCGAACAACTTCAACAACCCAGTGGTCCTTGGTATCACCAACGGTAGTGTTGCCGTAGCAGGAAACTTCCCAATCACTCTTTGTAACGGGGGCGGCGACTTGGTGCGAGTGGAGGTTACGGCCGGTCTGGGCGTGGATGAGACGGATAACGTCACCGTTTCCAGGGTAGCGGAGCTCCTCATCGGGCTTGTAATCGACTTCGTGGCGGTTAGGGTAGAAGAACCAGTCGTTGTTGGCATCCTTGTGGTGGTAGCAAGTGATCTGTTGCTGTTGGGAGCCTTCAGGGTAGGTCTGCACGTGAGAGTGAAGCAGTCCACCTCCGTATCCCATGTTCTTCAGAGTCGTGCGAGAGCCGTATGCGATCTCAAGAGGGCTGTTCTTGCCAACTTCGGTTCCTCGCAGATTGGCCTGGAACAGGGAGCTCATTTGTGCGTCGCCGGGGCCGCTGTTTTCGAGGATTATGAAGTGGAGGTAGAAGGAGAACATGTAGACGGCGAGGGGAATGAGAATCAAGCCGAAGACTCGAAAAGCGACGTGGGTGACTAGCTCAACCTGTATACGTTAGTTTAATTTGCTGTGACAGGGCAATTTCACGTACCTTGGGCATCTTCAGGTCTCCAAACTTGTGCCATAGGTCCTCAATGGTGTACAGTCCAACCAACGCTGTGACGAAGAATCCAACCCACTTGACGCTGCATACGCAACCAATGGAAACTCCGGTGAGCATAAGCCAGAGACCCCACTCAGGAGAGAACGGGTCATGTTGCTGACGATGGAACTTGGACCAGCAGAAGACGGTGGTGAAGGTGAAGCAGAGGAGCATAGAGTCGAGAAGGATGAAACGGCTGATGGTGGTGTACGAGTTCTCGCAGAGGACAGCCAACGTGACGAACCATACAACCGGACGGCGGAAGTTCAGCTCCTTAGCGGTAAAGTATGCCAGCGGAACGCAGACAGCGCCAAAAGCAGAGTTGAAGAGACGCATGAAGGTGTAGTCCAGCTCTGGGGGATATGTCTCCCCAGACTTGAATTCGAACGAACCATTGTATCCAGCGAGGTATCCAGACAGACCAACGAGCATCTTTCCGAGCGGTGGGTGGACATCGAAGTAGAACTCGCGCTTGAGGTAGTGTGAACCGAACTTGCCAAAGCTGCACCAAGTCAGAACTAGCCATGTACGTCTTGGATTTGGTATACTTACTGGGCTTCATCCCAGGTGACGATTGGCGAGAGGCCAATCTTGTACATGCGCGTGAAGAAGGCGAAGAAGGTGAAAATCAGAGGGGCCCAAATGAACTCGTATTCATCGAGGAAGGAGATGATGTTGAAAGGCTGAGGTGTGGTTAGCGAAAGGTCCCTGCAGCCACCAGAATATTGACAGCTCTGATGCCACTTGTGCAAGCCGGCGTACCTTGTCCTTGGATTTCTCCTTCTCTTGTACTTGTGCAGCGACTGGCGCGGAGGCCTGTGATTGTGCGGCTACATTTCTCCTCCGCAGCTCTTCCGCCTGTGCATCGGCGCCCGTGGTGCGCGCAGTTGATGCCATGGTGATGGAAGTCGGCGCTCTGGTCGACCTCAGATGTTGTTCGCGGAGTTGTCCAGAAGGGTGGAAGGGATTCGTGGCTTGAGGCTGGATTTGGTGGTGAACGGGTAGTCGGTACCGCGGAGCTTGCGCGACTACGCGGTGCAGTCGTGTCTAATGCGACTCGAGAGAAAGGTAATCAATTAAAAGTGGCCGTGGGCCGTAGAAGAAAACCCCAAACAAGTGAGAGCATAGGAAGGGAGCTCACGGGGAAGGAGCAATGCAAGAAAGTCGTGCGCTGCGGGATCGAGGAGGTGGGCTACCTGTTCCCGAATTAGACTTACGAGCAAAGGAAGCTAGAGCCCGGCCGCCGCATCAGGGCACGGAGAAGCGACACCTGTTCACATCTATCACGTGAAACCCACAATTCCATTCACCTGGCCCCAATCGTTCCGTCGCACTGGTAATCCGATGTGCAGCCGGCTAGGACGGGGAGGGGCACTAGGTCGATGCACGTCACCAAACCTTCACCACGGTAGCTTTCTGCACAAAAGATAATGGTTCCGTCTTCCTCGGAAGACGTATTTCTCTAGCCTACTCAACACATGTAACAAACGCCTCAAAAAATGCTACGCGCACTCTATCAACCCAAGAATGACGCTCGATAAGCCATTGGCTCGCAATATTGGAACATGCGCATCGCTTGTCGAGATGACGCAGATATATGGAGAAAATGCGGAATTGTCGATGTGTACACCGCGTGTACTCTAGTCCTCGTCCTGTCCAACTTGCTTGTACTTTCCGCTCGTACTGTCACCCTCGCCGTTGCCCTTTGTCCTCTTAACCATGTTGCTGATCCAGCCACCGATGCCTTCGCCGTTCTCAGTGTCAGCCTTGGCCATGTCCTTGTTGCCGCTCTCGATGTCAGGAGGGTCGATGTTGAGTCCGGGAATGGCCTCGTCTTGCCCGCGGCGTCCGCCTCGGATATCGAGCGATGGTACAGGAGAGCCGCGGCCTTCTCCGCTGAAAAGCGATTCGGCTTGCGCCAGGGTCTCCGGAGTGGGCATGACCGAGGTAGCGTCTCCGAACAGGGAGTTCATGTCTTCCAGGCGAACGTTGGCAGTCTCTGGGTAAATGAAATATACTAAGTCTTGTTAGTAGAATGCTCAACCCAAGTGTCAGCCAAAACCTACCGATAACGAAACTGGCAGCGCAGAAGAATGCGTGGATGAGGTACAATCGCCACTGGATGTGCTCCTGCAGTATCGGAGTCATCTCACCAACCAGCCAGTTGAAAGCCCAGTTGGTCGCGGTACTCAGACTGGCACCCTTTGCACGAATGCTGAGGGGCAGAATCTCCGGTGGGTACAACCACGGAATAGGACCCCATGAGTATCCGAATGCGGCGTTGTAAATCATGACGAATATGACGACCATGTTGGGTGTCCAAGAAGCTTGCAGGAACTGGAAGTAGGAAATGGCGGAGAGAGAGATCAGCATCATGAGGGCTCCAGAGAGCAGAATCTTCCGACGACCCAGCGAATCCACAATGTACCATGGTGGAATAGTGGAAAGCAGGTATGTGATGGCGTTGATACCAGTCATGAGAATAGCTTGGCGACCGTACCAGCCAGCCTCTTCGAAGACGAGCGGTGCATAGTACGAGATGACGTTGATGCCGTTGAGTTGCGCGAGGGCTTGGGCGGACATGGCAATGAAGACGCGTTTGGAGTATCGCGTGAACATGTCTTTGTATGATCGTTCACCTTCTTGACGCTGGAGCAGAACGTTCATCTTGATCTCTCGGTATTCATCTCGTGCTTTGGGGTTGTGAATATCGCCCTTTCCGTACAAATTGGCAATAACTACAATACCCTCTTCGTCGTGATCGTTGTCCAAGAGCCATCTGCATGTGTTAGTGAGATGCTTGGATTAGGAGTGTATAGCAAACCTTGGAGATTCGCAGATAAGCAAGCTTCCTGCGGCCAGAAGAAGACCCATGATGCACTGCATGAAGAGCGGAACTCTCCACGACCAGTCGTTCTTGATGTATGTGCAGAAGTAGTCGACCCACACACTGACTGCATAGCCTGTAATGTTGCCAGTGAATTCGATGCAGCCCATCTTTCCTCGGTTGTGGGGCGGCGAGATTTCGGACTGATATACGGGTACGATGGTAGATAGCGATCCGACTCCCAGACCGGCGATGACTCTGCCGAGAAGCATCATGGGGATACCGGTAGCGAAAGTCTG